CTACTATATAACATAAATGCTATTACTACTATTTAGATACAACTCATACTGCGAATGAGTAACTAGACTAAGCAACCCTAGTTAAGTCATGTATCTCATGAAAAATAAAACAAACGAGTCCACTTGTTGAATACACAACCATCGTCTCCCATTATTACAATATGGTGTCAGGTAGCTGCGCTATTCAAACTAAAGAAAGTAATTTAAAAAGTCACAAACATTTACATACAAATCACAAAATGCCGGATGATGAACCTAAAAACGCGCCTCAGGTTCAAAAGCAAATTATGAATTTGCTACTACAATAGAACCGATAAATTTGCGAGCCCGTAATTTGGCAGCCGAGTGGAAAAATTGGAGCACACAATTTAAAATCTTCTTTCTACGTGCTTCAAATTTGGAGGACCAGCCTGATTCTCGTAAAGTCGCATTGTTAATCCATCATCTAGGACCTGAGTCGCTACAAATCTTCAATTCCTTCAACGTAGATGTCGACGAAGTCACCTATAAATTGCTGCTGAAGAAATTCGAGGAATACTTTGTACCCAAAGCCAACAAAGCTATGGAGCGCCATAAATTTTTCACTCGAATTCAACATTTAGGTGAGTCGATAAATGAATATGTGGCTGTGTTAAACAATTTGAGTTCCACATGTGAATTTGGCAATCTACGTGAAGACCTTGTGCGCGACATATTCATATGTGGTCTGTCACAGAAATTTTCGAAAATTAAAGAGAGAGAGAGGCTTTTGAGCGAAGGGGATGTACGCTTAGAAAGGGCGCTAGATATTGCAAAAAGCATCGAGTTAGCAACAGCTCAAAAAATATAATAGAACATTCGGACGAGCACGACATAAGCACCGTTGCAGCGTTAACACGTCAGAATAACATGTACTGTAAGCATTTTAATCAGTCAAGTGAAAGTCAAGGTCAAGGTCAAACAACAATAAAATCCAAAAAGTGTGGACATCTACACAAAAACAAATGCCCAGCTTTCGGAGTAACGTGCCATGCTTGCGGTAAACCAAATCATTTTGCGAAATTTTGTTTTACTAAACAACAAAACAAATATATAAGGACATTGGAAGCAAATGAAGGCGAAAGTGAAGGCGAAAGCGACGATATCTTTGTGGGTGTGGTGAAAAGCTCCCAGTCTTGCTCAACAAATAAGGAGTGGAACATCAATGTTAAAATTGGCAGGAAGAATGTGGTTTGCCAAGTCGACACAGGAGCGCAAGCAAATATAATGTCTTTAAGTACGTATAAATCATGATAAAAATATAGTAAGGTAGAACCGCTGAGAGTAACTTTTAAAATTCTTGACGTTTCCAAACAATTTAATTTTTAAATTTACTCACAAACTCACACACACATTTTCATTTTCAATCTCAAGCAACAACAATTTCGAACAATTTCAATTTTTTATTTTCACTTTTATATGATTTTAAAATGTTGGCAAACTTCAAAAAAAAATCATGGCCGGAAAATTGAGAGAACGGTTCTACCTTGCTATGTTTTTATCATGTTATAAATCATTGAACTTATAATCCGACTCGGATGATGAATTTATTTTTAGATTAACTTCTGTCACATGTGGACAGAATCGCACCAATCGAAATAATAATCAAATTACACCGGAAACAGTTGAACTGTCATTTTTCGACCACCACCATTTCGAGGAGACCGGGGTGCCACCCAAATCGGGGTTGCCACTCGTGAGGCGTTACATTAGATGTACTACAATTCGGCCTTAACCTGACAAAACAATCGCCCACGATTGCCTCTAGTGGGGCTTCTCGGTCTCTTCCAAATACTCATAGTCGGTACACTCGTCATCATTACATGAATAATTAGTTACTTCATCGTCTGGGCTTAAAGAGTTGTTGCCTTCCTGTCTCGGATCATCGCCACTCGGGCTGAACTGCACCCAGCGTCGGAGTCTGCTCGAGTCAAGGATACTGCTGTAAGGAATCTGTGTGTTCTGGCAATTTTCTATGTCGGTTACAACGTAACGGTCGTGCCCTAATTGTCTCTGGATGACGTAAGGTCCTTTATATTTGGGAATAAGCTTCTTATTTTTACCCACTGTAGTGTCTACATTCTTGATCACGACAAACTCGCCAACCTCAAATTGTTGGGCCGGTTTGTGAGTGCGGTCGGAGTATCGTTCGTTTCTTTGCTGTGACGTTTGAATAGCTTCGTCCGCCTGCTCCCTGGTCCTTTTCAGATCTACGGTTTCACTAACATACTTTTCTTGCAGATACTCGGTTAGCTCGTCAACCACGTGTCCCCGTTGCTCCACACCGAACAATAATTTACAGGGAGTCTGTTTGGTGCTACTGTGGACCGTGTTGTTTATAGCAAATTCGAAGTCGACAAGTCTCTTTTTCCAATCTGTATGATCAATAGGATCAGTGAGTTTGACCAACATACTCTTCAAGACCCTATTCACCCGCTCGACCTGCCCATTTGACTGCGGAGACGCTACAGCGTTCAAAACGAGTTCTATATGATGCTGCCTACAAAACTCCCTAAACTCAACAGACGTGAAACAAGACCCTCTATCACTGATAATTCTTCGGGGCCGGCTGTAATCGGTAAAGTACTTGCGCAACGCACATACGGTCTATTTTGTACTAGTGTTTACACCGTATAATTTAACGAACTTGGTAAATGAATCTACGACCACCAGAACATGCCGGCGCTTAGACCTCACCGTTTCCAGAGGACCAAAATGATCGATGTGTAGAGTATCCCATGGTTCGGGCTTCTTTCGAATACTATACAAACACCTTTCATTGCTTCTAGCCTGGCCTGAATAATAAATACACTTCAAACAATTAGCTAGGAAACTCTTAACCTTTTTTCTTAACCCCGGAAACCAATAGTGTTTCTTTATCTGGTCGACGCATTTATCCACCGCTAAATGACCATACGTCTCGTGTACTAATCGAATCACATTATTTTCTATCTCCCTAGGTACGTAGAGTTGCCGCCTACCATCCTCCACATCACATGGAACACCAGTCTGTTCTCCATGTCAAATCCAGACACCTCAGCCACTTCCAACTTCTTTTCCAACTCTTTAATTTCCGGGTCTCTCATCTGAGCTATCTGAATGTTAACGTCTACTTCACTTTCCTCCACTGTGCCTACACATGTTGACCTGCTTAGTGCGTCCACATGTGCCATCTGCTCTCCTGACCGATGTTTAATCTTGAAATCAAATTCTGCCAAGGCTAGGGACCACCGAGCAATCCGTGGATTAATCTGTTTCTTGCTCAGAGCCAATACCAATGAATTGCAGTCTGTCACAATGGTGAACGGGATTCCATGGACAAATACTCTAAATCGCTCCAGAGCCCTAACTATTGCCGACGTTTCCAGTTCGAAGCTATGGTAACGCGTTTCGGCATCTGTGGTGCTTCTTGAAAAATATGCTATTGGATGGAACTTATGGTCCGACTGCTTCTGCAGCAAGACGGCCCCATATCCATGCGCACTGGCGTCTGTGTGTAGCTCAGTCTCACGATTCGGGTCAAATATACTCAGAACGGGCGACTCCGCCAGTCGGTTCTTTAGAGTCTGAAAAGCGTCCTTGCACTGGGCTGTCCGCTCGAATCGGACATTTTTACCCAGCAATCGACTAAGTGGTTTAGCTATTCGTGAAAAATTTGGTACGAATCCCCTAAAATAGGAAAATAACCCAAGGCACCGTTGTACTTGTTTGGCCGTCTGTGGTTCACTATATGTTTTGATGGCCTCTACCTGTCTTTTGCTGGGGCGGATTCCTTTACAACTGATCCTATAACCTAAATACTCCAACTCTTGATACGCAAATTTGCATTTATCAAAGTTCTGTTTCAATCCTGCCTCCGCAAGTAACCGTAACACTCGCCCTAACACTTCACTATGCTCCTTAATGGTGCCTGTGGCCACTAGAATGTCATCTAAGTAGACCATCACTTCCCCACGGCTAATCAATGGCTTCAGAACTTGGTTCACCAGTCTTTGGAAGACAGCCGGGGCGTTAGTCAGCCCAAATGGCACAAAATTGTACTCATATTGCCCCATCGGTGTCACAAAAGCTGTCAACGGTATTGAGTTTACTTGCATCGGAATCTGATGGTACCCATTTCGTAAGTCCAACGTACTAAAATAACTTTTCCCTGCCAGGTACGTTAGGCAGTCTTCAATTAAGGGTAACGGGAACCGATCTTTAATAGTTATTTTATTTAGCTCTCTATAGTCTACACACATCCGTAACTTCCCATCCCTTTTCCTAACTAGAACTATCGGCGACGCATACGGGGACTCACTGGGTCTTATAATCCCTTGCAATAATAAACTGTCAATTATTTCTTGCACTTCCTTTTTCTCTTTAAATGACAGTCTCCGTGGAACGCTATACACAGGAGTGTCACTTTTCACCGAAATCTTCATAAAGTAACTTTTCAGCATTTTACCTTCCACTACTTCTGTATAATGTTTAAGAATTACCCTTTCTACTGCGTCAGCATCTGCTCTTGTCAACTGATCACTTATATCGTATGGTCTCAATGGAACGTTCTTCCCGCCCCCACTGTCTAACTCCTCCTCTGTCATCTCGTTGGTCTCAACCACCGCCAGCTTTTCCCCACTTTCATCAAGCCGATTTCCCTCGCTCGGTACAGCTCTTACAAAATTTGTATCCGATTCTTTTGAAATTTTAAACAAGTTAAGTGCACTGAAAATGTCATTAACATATTTATTCGTTGCTATTTTATTGCGCAAATCAAGTAATTCATTTTTGTCATACTTTACATTAATAATTTTAAATAAATTAATGCCCATTCGGCCCAAAATTTCTCGTCCGAATAACCAAGGTACTATTGCTTGGTCATCGGGTAAAATTAAAAACTTATGTTTAACTTCACTTCCCCGAAATAAAACTTTACACGTAATCGTTCCGTACGTAAATAATCGTTTATTTCCAACGCCTCTGTATATAGTTGATTGTTGTTTATTAATAAAGCCAGAAGGCACACAGGACTTCCGCACAAAGCTAACCGGACTGCCGGTATCAAAGAGAACATAACAATAGGTTGGTTCAGTGCACTTATCCTGTAAATAAAAGGCAACACTCACCCAATTTTTTGCAGTAAGTTGCTCCACTACTCTACGTACTAGACGATCTTCCAGATTTTCGTCTGCTGCTTCTACTGCTGTCACGGCCGCCGCTACTCCTCTGGTCTTCTTTTTCGGGCAATCGAATCGGGTGTGCCCTACTTCATTGCACACAAAGCAAGCATTTGGATGGCGTCTGGGTGCCGTACAGGCGCTTTGGAAATGCCCGTACGCGAAGCAATTAAAACAGCGGACATTTTCTTGTTTAATTGCACCGCCCTGGGTGCTACCAACTGCTGCTCCTTCCTTTTGTTTTCCGCCAGTGGCTGTATTAGCGAACTGAGTTTTGATTCGCTTCTTTTTCTCATATCGTTCCATGAGTAACTTCAATTCGGCTAAAGTGGTGGCACTGTAAAGCATCGATACCTGCGATGACTTGTCCTGGAGACCATCGATTATTATATCGATTAATTCCAGTTCTGGAATGTTGGAGCGACTAGCGATAAGCTGCATCTCGATAATGTATTGTCGGGGCGTTTCGTTTACCTTCATCGTGCGTGCTTTCAATTGCGCAAACACATCCTGCATAGAAAATGCCCTTTCGAACTCCTGCAATAATGCCGCTTTAAGCTCCCCATACGTTCGCACCGTTATGATGGATGCAAAACGCTTCGCTTGCCCAGTCATCAAGTGGCGGGCTGCCACTAGCTTGTCGCGTTCAGCATAATTGTACGCTTCGAAGACGTTCTCTAGGTCACCGGTCCACTTGCGTACGTCTTGTAGCTCCGAGCCATCGAACTTGACGATCATAGCATCCAGAATGGCCAGGTCTAAATGTTTCTCATTGACGCCCAGCTCCTGTTGCAATATTTGCAGCTCTCGCCTTTTGCGGGCAATGGCTAGCTGTCGGTTTAGTAGCTCTTCTTCTTCCTCAGCTTCAGATAAACGCTGACGGACCGTAGACGGCGACGAGCGCTCCGACCCCACTGGAGGCGGTTGCTCCAGAAGCTGGCAGCGCATAGTTGTTGGTGCCTAAATCGCATCCCCTTGTTGTTGCACGTCTGGATGCTGAAAAATTTGCGGGCGCTGCTGTGGTACTGCTGGCTGCTGTGGAGCATCTGGCTGCTGTGGTGCATCTGGCTGCTGTGGTGCATCTGCCTGCTGTAAAGCATCAGGGCGTTGCTGCTGAGGTAGGCTGCCGCGTTGTGCCCTTTCGTAGAGCACACGGAGTTGCACCAAAGTGGCTTCATTATCAAAAGCCACTCCTGCATCTGCAAGTGCAGCCATAATCTGGCTTTCCCGCGAATATAACAGGTATTGTCGATTTCGCTGGTCACGTGGAGTATAAAGCAGTGTTTGCATTATTCAACTTTGCGTTCAACAATTGCGTTCAACTCAACGCAGGGTTGCACGAAAAAAAAGTTGAATGGCTAAATGTTGGCTGGCGACCAACTTTATTGAAAGCGATTAGTTGAAAGGCCATTCAACCAAAAGTTGAATGCAAAGTTGAACAATGCAAACACCTTTTTATGGCGAATATTTTGATATTTTTTCATATTTTGATATTTTTAGCCATTCAACTTTTTTTTCGTGCAACCCTGCGCTGAGTTGAACGCAAATGTTGAACGCAAAGTTGAACAATGCATACACACCTTAAGCCTCACACCTGAATTTATAATCCAACTCGGATGATGAATTTATTTTTAGATTAACTTCTGTCACATGTGGACAGAATCGCACCAATCGAAATAATAATCAAATTACACCGGAAACAGTTGAACTGTCATTTTTCGACCACCACCATTTCGAGGAGACCGGGGTTGCCACCCAAATCGGGGTTGCCACTCGTGAGGCGTTACATTAGATGTACTACAAACTTAAACAATTTAAAACAGAATGTAACAAACAAAATACCAACATTTAGTGGCGAAAAACTGCCAACTCTAGGTATGTGTCAGTTGACATTAGTTTTCAAACATGAAGAATATTCCACTGTTTTGTATATATTAAACATGAAATGTAATAATATTATCGGCTTACAAAGCGCCATTGCTATGAATATAGTGAAACAGGTTAACGTAATTAATGCTGTTAATAAAAAGTTTGAAAAATATGCAAGTGTGTTCGAAGGTCTAGGTCTGCCAAAAGATGAATGTCTTTAAAAAATTAATCCGGAGGTAGAACCCGTAATAGATCCTCCTAGAAAAATACCGTTTACTTTATATGAACCTTTGAAAAAAGAATTAAATAGAATGGTTGATTTAAAAGTTATTACACCTGTCAAAGAACCAACGAAGTGGGTGAGTTCAATTGCCTTAGTCACAAAGACTAATGGGAATTTACGCCTGTGTTTAGATCCAAGAAATCTAAATAAAGCAGTTTTGCGCCCGCGTTTTGCATTTCCAAACATTGATGAATGCAAATCTAAATGAAGCGGATCTAAAATTTTTAGTACACTGGATGCGAATTCTGGCTTTTGGATGATGCCAATGGATGAAAATTCTTCAAAGCTCTGTACGTTCAATACCCCGTTTGGTAGATATCGGTTTTTACGCTTACCTTTTGGTATCAATGCGGCACCAGAAATATTTTATGCCGAAATGGTTAGATTGTTTTGTGACATCGAAGGGTTAATCATATACATGGATGACTTTTTGATATATGCGTCTAATGTTGCGGAACATGACAAAAGCTTAAATAGAGTACTGGAAAGGGCTAAAAACGTCGGTCTGAAATTTAATAAAACAAAATCAAATTTTTATGAAAGTGAAATAAAGTTTATAGGGCACACTTTTAATGAACAGAGCATTAAGCCGGATCCAGATAAAATCAAGTCCATAGTAGAGATACCACCACCACGTTCGGTAGCTGAATTACAGCGATTCATGGGCATGGTTAACTATCTTGGGGCGTTCATAGAAAATATGTCTGCTAAAAACAAAAATTTGCGCGAATTATTGAAAAAAGACATACAGTGGCATTGGAGTGATGCTCATGAAAAGGAGTTTAATAATTTAAAAATTTAAATTACTAGGGCGCCAGAACTGACTTATTTCGATGCACGCAAGCAGTTGAAGTTGTCAGAAGACGCCTCTAAATTTGCAGTCGGTGCAGCTATTTTTCATGACCAGAATCCAATTGCGTATGCTTCAGCTTCCTTGACAAGTTCACAAATTAACTATGCACAAATAGAAAAGGAGCTTTTTGCTATCCTCTTTGGTTGCGTAAAATTTCACCAATACGTTTACGGATTGCAAATTACTGTTGAAACTGACCATAAACCTTTAGTATCGTTATTTAATAAACCACTTTTTAAGATACCACCCCGTCTTCAACGTTTTATGGTGCGTTTACAATATTATAACCTGCAGGTCGTATATAAGCCTGGTAAATATTTATTTGTGGCCGATACGCTTTCTAGAGCGCCGTTGAGAGAAGAAACAAATATTGATATTGACAAAGAATTAAATTGACAGTGCAATTTGTTAATGTCTCATATAGGTTTGTCAGAAGATTATATAAATGATATAAAAAGGGGTACTCAAGCGGATGAAGTTATGTTAAAAGTGCAAAAGTATTTTAAAAATGGGTGGCCTTCGAGCAAGAAAAAAGTCGAAAAGTCTGTAATGCCATACTATAATTCTAAAGATGACCTTTCAGTTGTAGATGGCTTACTATTAAAAAATAATCGTATTGTGATCCCAACGCTACTTCGAAAAAAAGTACATGAGGCCACATGGGCGTTCAGCGCTGTCAGAGCCTAGCGCGAGAATCGGTGTATTGGCTTAACATAAACAATGACATTTTTAATGTAGTGTCATGTTGTTAGCTTTGTATGAAATACAGAATTGCGAACCCTAGACAGGAACTTATGGGTCACGAGATACCAGACATTCCATGGTACAAATTAGGCTGCGATTTGTTTGAATTCAACAAAAAAACATACCTATTAGTTGTAGACTACTATTCAAAGTACTTTGAAATAGAGCTTTTAAACGCAGGTTTATCCAGCACGTCAGTAGTAACTAAGCAGAAATCCATTTTTGCTCGACATGGAGTACCTGGTATCCTCATTTCGGATAATGGCCCGCCATTTAACTTAAGTGATTTAAAAAAATTTTGTTCCGATTGGAATATTCAACACACAACTTCCAGCCCATATTTACCAAGATCGAATGGGCTCGCAGAAAGGTCAATTCAAACAGTTAAGAAAATCTTATATAAATGTTTAGAAGAAAAAACGGATCCGTATACAGCACTATTACATTACAGGACAACTCCAAAAAATAACATGCCAAGTCCTAGTGAGTTACTTATGTCTCGAACACTGAGAACGAAAATTCCATCGATGTCACAAAATTTTGAAACAAAAGTGGTTGATAAATCCGCTTATCGCAATGCAATCGAAAGACAAAATAGAAGATCGGCCAGAATTTTTAACAAGAAACCTAAAAATCTAAACCCAGTTAATGAAGGGGAGAAAGTTATGTATAAGAAATCTCCCACATCTGTTTGGTATCCAGGTCTAATAATTGAAAAATGTATAGAACCACGGTCTTACATTGTTCAAGATATAGAAGAAGGCGTATACAGAAGAAGCCGAGAACATATTCTAAAAAAACCTTTACTTGAAGAAAATGTTGAAGAAAGTAATAGCCCAACAAATGTAAGTGAAAGTAACGAAATAGAAAATAGAGGAAAGGAAGCTGTAGAAAATAGAAATATTAATTTTGAGAATTCGAACATAACAAATAATACTAATAAATCCCATGAAATGTATACAACTAAAAAAGGAAGAAAAGTTCGACCACCGAACAGATTTGATTTGTAACTATCTAATGATACTAATGCTTTTATAGCTACTTTGTATGAATCACATATTTTTATATAAGAGGAAGATGTTGTATATTAATATTTGTAAAATAAACCCTTAAATGCTTATGTTTACATGTAACTTAAATCTACTACAATCTACTACTATATAACATAAATGCTATTACTACTATTTAGATAAAACTCATACTACGAATGAGTAACTAGACTAAGCAACCCTAGTTAAATCATGTATCTCATGAAAAATAAAACAAACGAGTCCACTTGTTGAATACACAACCATCGTCTCCCATTATTACAATAATACTTATAGTAATTTGCCTCATTTATCAAAATTCCATTAAGTAACATGGTTTGGATGCATTTATCCGCCGATGTGCACACTTCAAGCATCAACACAAAATGAGGTTGTTGTTTTTGTTTCCATTGCGATGCTCGGAAACCACGCTACAAACGACGAGCGTGCTCGCTAAAAATCAAAATTTTTTGATTTTTTGAGAGCGTGCTCGTGAACCGCCCTACAAACGACGACCATGCACCGCAATCCGAGCATGTGCGCGCACATGTTCGTCGTGTGTAGCCACTGTAAGACACATTTAGTAGTAGGTGGAGACGTGGGGTCACAGGGACCTTAGATGGTCGATTTGTTAGTCGAACTTTTGATCGCTGTTTGACTAATGCTTGAAACACAATACCCGGCGAACGGCAAATTTCGCCCAGCAGAGCGATGCCGACGACCAACTTTCGCCCAGCTAATTCGCTTACTGAAACACAAATAGAGCGGTATCGAGCGGTTCGAATGCTGTCAGCTGATAAGGTGACCATGTTTCAAGAAGGAACCTTTTACAACGAAGAGGGAAAATACCAGCAAGAAGAAGTTTGCAATATAGAAATAGTCTTTAAATATAACTACTAGTAAACTTACGTTTTACTAGATTAATCTCTGATAGAAAAATGTAGGGTATATTATTTTACTTTGAAACAAAAACTACGATAACTTTTAAAGTATGGTCATCATGGCCTTTTTTTGTCGTTGCCGTTGACCGCGGCGATAGAAATAAATCTATCGTCGCGAACAGTCGTCGAGCAAACTTCGTCGTTTGCTTTGGTTGTGCGCGTTCTCATATAAATCAGTGTGTTTTAATTATTTCGGAGAACATTCGCGACGAAAAATTTGCCGTTCGCCG